CTGAGCTGATTCATCTGGCTGAAAATATCTCATTATAATGTCTGCTCTTCACACTTATTTTATGCTAATTTCTCTCAAAAAGATCTGGGAATAAGCAACATTTTTTTAAAAATATAAATTGAATTTTAAAAAATAAAATCGACAATATTTCGAGAAAAAAACCAAGATATTATTGTTTTGAAGAAAACAATTGAAATAAGTGTACTTTTTTCATTTTCGATGTTTTCCAGTTTTCAACTAACACAAGATTAATGACAGCAAACCCCATCGCAGGTAGTCGATCATTCTATTGGTTCAAAGGTCACAATTCTTTGTTGTTTGGCATGGTTCTAAAACATATTTGTATTGAATGTTAGTTGTCTTCAGACTGTTGAGTGTATCGCCAACAGAAATTTAAATTGCCAACAGAAACTGTGTGTTGATTTTTGAATTGATTAAAATTGTTCGTCATTTGAATAGTTAATAGTTTCGTCAATAAAATGGGTAACCAAATAACACGGCACAACATTTCCGGCGTAACCATTGAAAGGAAGAAGAAAAACAAAGAAGTTAAAGTTCAAAATGTTGAACAACAACAAGAAGAAAAACCAATTTATTTACCACCTGAACAAAACTCACCCACTGAATTACACACTGGAACAAAAATTACCGATCTGAATTCTGATTGTTTGGAGCATATTTTATTGTATTTGGATCCGAAAAATCTCTTGAATGTTGCTGATTCCAACAAATATTTAAAAAGTGTTGCTGAACGGGCCTTTGTGAGAAAATATAAATTCGATTTTTCAATGCTTGATATAACCTTCTCTGGCAACACTTTTGCTTACGTACCGTTTCGCTTACGTAGAGCTACTACTTATTCAAGTTTTAAATTGAAAACTTGTTTTCAAATAGTGCGCCACTTTGGACACTTGGTGAGGAGCATATATATTGATATCGACTCAACAAAGAAAAAGGGTTTAGTTAGCAGCAAATTTTACGATTTAATTTTAAATAACGTAAACGAATACTGTATTAATGTAAAGAGAATCGATATTAAAGGTATAACAATTTTGAAAAAATTCCAAAAACCATTTTCAAAGGTTGAATTCGTTAATTTGGGTTGTAGTTTGGGACCAAATAGTATCGATTGGCTTTTTCCAAACATATATAAATTAAGCTACAAATCCAATAGTAATTCTATAGACATCGAAAAACATATGCCAAAATTAATGGAACTGATAATTGACGTTTCACATGGAAAACTGAGCAATTCATGCAAAAAATCCATTGAGACAGCCTGCCGATTGAATCGACAAGTGAAACGTTTCGAAGTGAGATTAGGGTCAGCCTCAGCGTTGAATATGCAGCAGTTTGCTAAAATGAAGAAATTTGCAATAAATGCCAAGATCAAGGACGATACAATTCATCTTACAAGACAGTATCATTTGAATGTAGACGGAGATAGAATATTACAAATTATTAAATACTTAAATTAAGATTAAAAGATGAAAAAAAATCGATCATGGATGATTTACGTGGATGCTTTGGAAAAGAATGGCAAATATAAACAATACATTATTTAACGCTACATTTTATCGAGATGAAATCAAATATTCCAACACACTTACGAAGATGAATACATCTACATTTTTTCCGCAACAATATTTTGTTGCAGACTTCATGAGCCATAACATTGATATACAGAATTTCTCATTAAATTAGCACTTTATTTTCTCATTTAATCTCTATTGATAATTATAATATAAGTTTATTTACTGTATCAACATCGATCGAAATAAATTTAATCGATTAAATAAAACAAGCAGATCTTTCAATTCTCAATTTTTTCTCAAAGTGATTAAGAAGAAAAAATACAACGGCATTGACCAGTATGTTGGATTAAAAAATTTCCTAATACGGGGTAAAAAAATGAAACCAAAAATATTTCGAGAAAGAATTTGATGATTGTTTTGACGAGTAAAGTGAAATAAATTTACTGCTTTCAGTTTTTTTTCATTTTTTTCATTTTCCATCTCATTCTTGATTACCTTCAAGTCTTGAAGAGATATCGAGCCGGAGCTAAAGTTGTTATTGTTGGAAAGAGAATAACAAAGGATAAAAGAAGCCATATTTCTCGAGACGCTTACAATGTACTCTTTTATTATTATTCTTTGTTTCAGAGATTATTTAAAAGGTAACATCGAACCCTAGGGGGTTCCGACTTAAACGTATGATCCATATGCGAGCGAATGTTTCCTATATATTTTGCAAATGTAAACGAATGGTCGCAAATGTTTCTTACAAATTTTGCGAATGGTGGCGAATGTTTCATACAAATTTGCGGACGGTGTCGAATGTTTCATACACATTTTGCGGATGGCGCATATGAAAAGTCATATTTTTACATTCAAAAAGTCAAAGTGACAGATTAGGTGACAGAGATTCAAGCCGAATTGATATTTTTTTTGGTAATATTGAGTGAAATTTTTCTAAAATGGTAAATAAATCTTTGCCACTCGTTCCACTCGTAATATTATCACTGTAAACGGTGCCTTGTGAAAGGTTTTTATTTTCATTGACGTAACTTTCAATTTCTTTTATATTATCTGAATTTATTTCTAAAATCTCACTTTTCGAATCGGATACGGCTTCTAAAATAATATTCAACAAATAATCTTGTATTTTTTTCTTCAACTGTTTTTCAAATTTAGTTGAGAACAATGACATTGTGTTTGAAACTGCCACGACAAACTGGACACAGCAATGTGTATGTACAAATGTCAAACGACAGTAGCAGACAGTAGATGTCTAGCAGACGTATGCGGCATTCGTGAATGGTTGCGAATGAAATGTACGAATTTTCATAGATGTTGATGCGGAAGAATATACTTTACTTCGTATATTTCATGTATAAATAGGAAAACGTTCATATATTCCGTATAAAATGGCATTCGCATATAGTAAAATGCCCCTAGAGTGAAAGCTGTTTTTGGTACAAGCTTTGACAACAATTGAATTAGAATCTATATTACACACTATCTATCTATTTTACTAGCATCGATAAACTGTGTGACACAATTATTATTTGTATATGTTTGAATACTACACGTATCTACCGAATCGGTGTAGTTGAATTTCTTCAACGAAAATGGTATCGATGTATGTGTAAGAGAGTTTGTTGTTTCAAATAAACAATAATTAGATAAATTTGTTTTTGTTTTGTGCGCAATAAAATAATAATTAGTAATAATAACAACATCAACAAATTGTTCAATTTTGGTTACCTTGACTGTGATCATTTTTTTATGCACACATGTACAACGAAAAAAAAATCATATGACTTGTCCATACTTTTCTAGTTTTATTTCAATTTTTTTTTCTTGGCTAAAATTTATGGCATTGAGTTAGATTAACATTCAAATACATGAGAATACATGATCGATCTCAGTTTGTGTGTTCAAAGAATTTTCTGCTCTGATTCTATTTCGGTTAATGAAATATTTACATACAAACGCAATACAAATTTCTGTATTTTTTTAAATGATTGTTTCTTTTTGCATCAGCTTTGAGACCAATTGATTTTGCTTTTCAATTATGCCGATAAAAGTCAAAATATGATCGAAATTTCCGGTGTTTCGGCATTAATTTTTGATAAGCATTTTTTTTCTTCACTTTCAAACAATCTCAAGAATGTATAACAAAAATATACATGTATTTGAAAGTGAATGTTTGTGAATGTCTTAGGCCTCTGTTTCACCTTTGAGTCGTAATCGAGCGAAATCCTCGAATATTATGTCATCATCCTTGTAATCATCATCGCTGTCAAAATAAACGAAATTTTTTCATTAAAATCCCCGTTCGGAGTGGATCTCCAATAAAATGTGAACGAAAAAATCATCAAATAAAATTATTTAAGTGTATACCCGTCTAACTGGATGAGGTTTCCAGTTGTGGCCTGGTTGCTTGCATTTTCAGTAGCATCTTCCTCTCGTTGGCCAGATGATGAGCGTTTGCTTGGTGAACGATTGCTGAATATTCCACTTGGCTCATCCTCTTCGGGCTTTTTTCATATATTCAAATTAAAAACAAAAATATTTATTTATCGATTGAATATTAATTACGTTCAATGAATATCAATTACCTTTGGATGCATAAGAATAAACGGGAGCTCAGCCACAAGATCTCTGTCAACCAAAAATGAACATTTTTTATTTAATTGAAAGCAAAACCACAACAAATGACTCACCCTCCTAAAATTGGTCCGCCAATACAGAGTTTGACCTTGACTTTATACTGAACTATTATACCCAAATTCTCTCTCTGTGATGGATCCGCAATTCTAATGTAGAAATGATTATAAAATCAAAAAAAAAAAAAAAAAGAATAAAGAAAATCATATGAAAAATCGATGTACCATATTCATTGGAGAAAAAAAGAGAAATGGAGAGAATGTTCATTGATTTGGTATGCGCATGAAAATGGTTTCTGCAATGGACATTTGAAATTGTTCATGAAATGTGAGACGAACATAATAATAATATAGAAAAATGAGTTGAAACGCAGATGACGGAGAAAAAAGAAATGGAATAAAAGAATTCTTCGAAATTGTCAAATCCACTCACAACGTATCTATTGGACTGGCTCAAAAGAAAACATAATTCATATATATTTTGTCTAGTAGTTATCCGTTATAAACCTATACTTATCGTCATCTGTGACCGACAGCCGAATGGGGAAGACTTTTTTTTAATATTTATATAATTCACACTCGCTATCTCGCTATCTGTCTTCATCTTCATTAACATTTTTATTTTATCTCTTTCAAGAGCACAATAACAGCACATTTATATTGAGTTTGGGTATTTTATTTATCTAGGACATGCATATTCAATCAAACAGTTTGAAGTAGGTCAATGTTTTTAACAGTTTTTACACTCGGAATAAATCAGACGTACTCGTACATCAAATATAACATGTGCGAATTAATGAATATCCTTCATGTGAATATTTGGTTTCCATTGTCCAATATATACGGAGTGAATTGAAGGCGAGGGATGCCTTAAATTCCATTATCGTAAAAAGGAAAAATAAAAAATTGTGCAAACAAAAGCTAACAGAAGAGAAACGCCATTCTATGTAAAAGTTTTGACATAAAAGTAATGTCAAACTATGGTGGCCTGGGCAATTCGAAAAATGGTAAAGCAATTTCGTTGATGAATTCAGGAGATTCTAAACTATGCCAGAGCCAATTTGGCAAAAATTCACCACCCATATCTTGCATTGTGATGCTTTGAAGTCTTCGTTTAACAAAAAAAAATCAGATAGATGTCTATGAATTCTTTATCGTACAAGATACAAATCACTGCCAATTTTACACAAATATTTAAGTTATTTGCAACGATTAAACGATTCATTCATTCAAATAGAAC